TGACAGTCCATTGCTCTGACCAGCTCCATACTCACTGTTTTTGTTCAGGGTTTTCCAGTAGTTGGGGCCTAATCCACTTCTGTATACTTCCTTTCAAAGCTCAGGGCTCCAGGATTATCTTCTGTATCTCTGTTAATTGGTTTCTCTTTTCTTTGTTGAAGAGGGTCTGTGTAGCTTGTCTGCCTATTCCTCCATCTTACCAGAAGTCTTCTGGCCTTGTTTTTACTGATGATATCCATTACCTGTTTCCCAGTTGTAGTGGATCTGATTCCTGTGTATTCCATCTGGTGAGGTAAATTTTGGGTAAATTTTTGTATTTGGGGCTCTTTCATTGGGTCCATATATATTTATTATGGTTCAGTTTATCCTTTGATTATTGTATAATGTCCTTCCTTGTCTTGTATGGTGGTTTTTCTCTTAAAGTCAATTTAATGAGAAATTAATATTGCTGCTCCTCCTCTTTTCTGGTTGCCATTTGCTTGATATATCTTTTTCCAACCTTTGATTTTTATCTTTTTCCCTAAGGTGTGTCTCTTGTAGGAAGCATATTGATGGGATTTGTTTTCTTATCCAGTGTGCAGCTCTCCATCTATTGAGTGGTGCATTTAATCCATTGACATTCAGTATAATTATTAACAAGTGTGAATTGCTTGCTGTCATTTTGTTATGGGATTTTTCATGGTATTCCTGGCTTCTCTGTTCTGTATAATTTTCTGAGCTGAGCTCATAATGTTTATGAATCATGTTATCATTTCCTTTGTTGCTACTGTTTTAGTATTTGCCAAATATTTGTGCTTGTTCTCTTTTTTATTGTGATGTGAAGGTTTGTAATTTTTCTTTGAGTCTACCCTGTGGTTTATAATTTCCTCCCCAAGTTTAGAACAGTCCATTCTATCTTGCAACTCTCTTGACCTCTTCAACAATTAGAAGTTCTGTAACTACACAGTTTTTTCCCTCTTTTTGTATTATAGTTGTCCTTATTTGCCAATTGATGTCTGCTGTGTGGTCAAGTTACATCGGGACTGTGCCTTTTGACTTGTCAACCTTGGGGCTTCTCAGCCTCAACAGCCAGCAGCTGTTTGAGTGAAGAAACGCCTCTAGCTCCCATGGGCCAGGAGCAGGAGACAGAGCTGGACCCCAAGTTTGAGGGGCTTCCACACAGCCCCTAGAGCCTGGCACTTTGAACTTGGACTTAAAGCCTCCAAATTATAAGAATAAACTCCTGTTTGTTTAAGTCATCCCATTTGTGGTATGTTTTCTGTCAGAGTGGCACTAGGTAACCAGAACAGGGTCTATCCTATTTGGGGTTCATTGGACTTCCTGAATGGATATATCTCATCTTTCACCATATCAGGGAAGTTCTCTTCCAACAAATCTTGGACAATTTTCTCAGTGGTTTTCTTTTCTTCTTCCTGTTCTGGAATTCTGATTACATGTAGGTTATTCCTTTTGATGGTATCCCACATGAACCTTAGGCTTTCTTCATTTTGTTTTGATCTTTTTTCTGACTGATCCTTTTCCAAAGAAGTATTCAGGTATTTGTCTTCAGTCTCATTAATTCTGTCTTCCATTGATTCAATTCTCCTTTGCCTTTTCAATGTGTTATCTATTTCTGACAATTTAGTATTAATCTTCTGGATTTCTATCTGTAGACTTTGAATTATTTCTAATTTTTCATTTATTTTGTCATTTTGTTATTGTATTTTCTTTTGAAATTCTTCTAGGGTTTTTTGTGTGTTTTCCTTAATTTTGTCAGTGTTTTCCTTGATCTGTCTCTTAATCCTTTGAAGATACCAAAATATAATTCTTTTGAATTCCTTATCAGGGAGTTCCAATGCTGCTTCTTCCTCAGGGATGTGTTCTGGGTCTGTATCCTTCTCCCTTGTTTCTACCACTTTATCTTGCTTCTTTGTGTGGCGTGTCATAGTCTGTTGTCTCTGAGACATTTTGATGTTGTTGTATTTAGATCTCTGTTAACTGTGAAGAGCAGTTAAGGGTGAGTCAGGCTTTTCTTGGTGGCTGTTTATCATCTAGCCAGTTGGTGGAGAAGGAAGTGGTGGCTCTCACTCAGTAAGTGAAGTTGCAGGAGGTGCGGGTGTAGTTATGTTGTATGGGCACTGTTGCTGTCTCCTACTCAATTAGACAAAAACAACAATCTAATAACCATCAAAAAAGTAAAAGCAAGTGGACAAAAAGCACACTGCATAAACACACAGAAAAAATAAAAAAAGAAGAAAAAACAAAACCCCTGCAATATCAGGGGAGAAGGCAATAAGAGAAAAAGAGCAGAGCGGGAGAATAATGAAGAAAAAAATGGGAAAAATGCAAAAAGAAAAACAAGGAATGGGGTTAACCATGAGAAAGAAAAAAATGGGAACTAGGATTAGGGAAGAGAGAAAAAGTTGAAAACTAGAACCTGGGAAGGGAAGAATAAAGAATTATAAAAAGGACAAAAAGAAAAGAAGTAATTTTTAAACAGACAAAAACAAATAAACTAAGAAAAACAAAAATAAAAAAATCTGAGTAGGGTTAGGCAGGGCACCCAGGCTCCATCTCAGCACACAGACTGGGATGGAATTCCTACTGGCCCAGAAAGTGAGTGGGAGTGAGGGATGGCCTCACTCCTCTGTTCACCAGGAGGATGTGGGTATAAGAGTAACAAGGGGAATGTAAACCTTTCTAATCATTTGTGTCCGGAATGTCCTTGTGGTTCCCAGCAAGTGGAGCCTGTTCTTAAGCCCCTAGAATCTGGGAGAATGCTGTTGCTTTAATATCCAAAATGGGTGAACTGCTTTTAAACATCAAAATGGCTGCAGCCTCCGAGTAGGCAAAAGTCCACAGCTCAGCCCGCCTTCCTCTTTGCTGCTTCCCTTTTACTCACCAGCCTCCAGAGCAGTCCTCCATGCAGGCCCTGGCTAGAAGGGCTGATTTTTAGGTTAATTCTTAGGTCCTCACACCATTTAGCAATATCCATGCTGTCCATGCTATCAGGATGGCTGACAGACCTCAGCTCCGTATGTCTCCTTTTTTGGTGTTTTCATGCAGATTCTTCTACTAGTTGGAATTTAGTCCACTTCTGTATACTTCCTTTCAAAGCTCAGGTCTCCAGGATTATCTTCTGTATCTGTGTTAATTTGTTCCCCTTTTCTTTGTTGAAGAAGGTCTGTGCAGTCTGTCTGCCTATTCTGCCATTTTACCAGAACTTCTGTAAATGACATTTTATGTTCCCTCTTAGCTTCTGAGGGATTGCTTTGATCATCTAATTGTTTAGTAGCATTTTTATTCCCCACAGAAACACAGGGTACACACAACACAAGCAGCAATGGAATGAGGCGTGAGGTGCACAATCCATGATTGGTTGACTCAGCAGATATAGAACCTGCAGATCTGGAAGTCTGACTCTATTTGCAAATATCAGCCAGTGAAGACCTCATGGATCTGACAGTGATCTGATCTGCTGTGCATGGGGTCTCCATGAGTCACGGCTGACACGACAATAGTTAACGGCAACAATTGTGAAGGGTTTTGGATGATGTGCTTAGAAGTTGGGGTTTACTCTTTAGGGAGTAGGCAGACAACTAAGATTTTTCAGTACAAGAGTGATACTCTCAAATTGACCTACTCTGTAAAAGCTTTTATGTGACTTCACCCAGTCTCTGTTGATTGTGTATCACCATCAGACCCTGGGATACACGTGTTAGTGGGTATGATGATACACAGGACACACCTGCCTTCCAGTTTAGAGTTCTTCAGGCCACTAGTATAATGTGTTAATAAGTTATTTTGAAATTACGTCTTTGTGTATTAACACGTGTGTGTTTTTCCCCAATTCAGGTAGCATCACACTGTTTGCAGTCATTACCATCATCCTAGGATGCCTTAAAATTGGATACTTTGTTGGCTTTTCCGAGTGCTTGTCAGCCACTGAAGGAGTTTTCCCTGTTACCCATGCAGTACATACTCTCTTGCAGGTAAACCACACTGAGTTTCTTTATGTTATCCTTGCTCCTGTTAGAGCCTCTGGGTGGTCCAAAGGTTAAGCACTTGGCTATTAACCAAAAGGTTGGTGGTTTGAATACGCCCTGAAGTGCTTCGGAAGATACAGTTCAACTGGATACAGTTCAACTTTGACACACATGGAGTCACCGTGAGTCAGAATTGACTCTCTGGCCATTAGTTTGGGTTTTTCAGTTCCTCTTGAGGAGTCCCTGGATGGTGTAAATGGTTCATGTGCTTGGCTGATAGCCAAAGGTTGGAGGTTGATTCCACTGAGAGACACCTCAGAAGAAAGTCCTGGTGATCTAGTTCCGAAAAACCAGCCACTGAAAACCCTGTGGAGCAACAGCTCTGCTCTGACAAACTCGGGGTTGCCATGAGTTGGAGTTGAATTATTGGCAGCTGGTAATTCCTGTTAAGTGTATCTCAGGGTGTGTGCTGCCTTGACTTTGTGAAAATCTGGAACATCCAAGCATCTGGCAGGTGGAGCAGAGAACCAGCTGTTACAGAGTTGCTCACAAGTCCCAGGGGAACTTGAGTCCATCTCTGAAGCTTGGTCCTTCAGCTTCCTTCAGTCTAAAGTTGTGTGTCTCCATGGTTGTCTTTGTGGGACTTCCACGTGTCAGGCTATGTAACAAAGAAGCATCAGGAAAGCCTGCCAAGCCAGGGTCCCCCAGAAAAGGCTTGGGGGGAGTTAGATTTCCTGTGTAATGTATATATATATTTTAAATTGTAGTAAAATATAATAACAAAACATTAGCCTTTTCAGTTATTTTTGTATGTATGTACATTCTTGTCAAAGTTTTGCATTGTGGGTGCAGACTTTTATTCTGAGTTTTGCAGTTAAAAAATAAATCACAAACTTTGCTTGGTGTTGCCATATCATCTTTGTAAAGAGCATCACTGTAAGGGCTTTCTAGTTGAGAATTCATTCATCAATAATAATTTGCTTAGCAGTCTCCCCATTGTTGGTCTGCATGTCAGCTTTCCTGTGTCACTGCTGTGTCGGGTTTTTGAGTTGTGGCATGTTTCAAGAGATGAGCAACGTTATAACTTCTGTCCTGACAGTGTTCTCCAGAGCAGGCAGGAAATCTTAGGTGAAACAGTATGGAAGAGGTAATGTGTGAAAGTATATTTTATATCATGGTGTCTGGTTTTCTTCTTATAGCTCATCACTGCAGTGTGAAGATTGAGTGAGACAAATGCATAAGGTGCCCCACAGTGTTGGGCACGTAGAAAGGGCTCATTGAATGTTTCTGTCTTAAATAAGGTCCAAAATATTATAGGAATTAAAATGATGCCTGGTATACAGTAGGTGCTCAATCAGTGCCGATGAATGAATAAGTCGATGGTAGTGAATGCTGAGAACTTAAGATGCTCCTGGTGTCATTCAAGGTAATTTACACGGGTAATCTCCTTTAGTTGCTCACAGTATCCTCCAGGGTAAGTTCCATTTTCATGCCCATTTCACCAAGGGGAAAATAGACACTGAAGACCCAAGGCCATGAGGCTAGGCAGTGAGGGAGTCAGGAATTGCTTATAGGATATTAGTGTTCACGTGCTCAACCCTTACTCTACATTGCCACCATTACTCTATGGCCACGCGATTGCATATATACCACAGCATTCGCTATCAAGTTGACGCCAACTCTTGGTGACCACATGTGTGTCAGAGTAGAACTGTGTTCCATAGGGTTTTCTTTATTATTTAGTGTTTTTCTTCTTTTTTCATTGTCGTGTTTGGTAGTTAAATATGTATATCAACTTGGCTGGGCCCGGTTGAGTGGCTGGGCAGCTGGTGGGAGTCATTCCCCGTGATGAGACTGGCCATCAACTCCATGGTGGGATCTACCACAAGCAGCTGAGTCAGCTGCCTTTGGGATGTGGTGTGCTTCCTGTATATAAGGAGAGGCCTCGGGGATAGTCTCTAGCTTATGGCATGCTTGGACCCTGCATGTAGCCAAGTCGTTGTTCAGCAGCCTGCCATGCTCTGCTGACCTTGGGACTTTCAATGGACTTAAGTTAATGGCCTGCCATGTGATTTGGTAACACTGGGACTGTGCCATGTTATTTGTCGACCTTGGGCTTGTTAGCCTCAGCAGCCAGTAGCTGCCCAAGTGAAGAGATGCCTCTAGCTTCAGTGGGCCAGGAGCAAGAGGTAGAGCTAAAGCCCAAGGTTGAGGGCCTTTCACCCAGCCCCTAGAGCCTGGCACTTTGGACTTGGACTTCTAGCCTCCTGAACCGGAAGAGAATAAACTCCTGTTTGTTAAGGCCATCCCATTTGTGGTATATTCTTGTCAGAGTGGCACTAGGTAACTCTTGGTGACCACATGTGTGTCAGAGTAGAACTGTGTTCCACAGGGTTTTCTTTATTATTTAATTTATTTTAATTTTAATTTTTATTGTCGTGGTGTTGTTGTTGAGGCTAACACAGCAAAATGTGCTCTGATTCAATAGGTTCTGCACGTACCATTCAATGAAATTGATGACATTCTTCAAGGTTTGCAACCGTTTTGCACCTCTTTTTCTGAGTTGTTCCTCCCTGGTTGATATAAACTCACCAGCCCCCAAGTTTGCTATTAGTCTTTTGAGTTGCTGGTGTCAACTTGATCCCATATAGATAGTTCTTAAAAAGCACAATGCTCAAGGCAGACATTTTTCACTAGCTAAGCTAAGCTATGGTTTGGTTTTGAGAAGACATATTAACAGGGTATTTTTGGTTTAAGGTTTAAAAATTATCTCAGGATGATAGCTTTGGGGGCTCATCCATCCCCCATGACTTCAGAACACGGGGCTCTCAATGGCTGAGTGTTTGAAAGTAGATTGCCAGACCTTTTTTCTGAGATGCCTCTGGGGGGATGCAAACTGCCAAGTTGTTAACTGTGTGTACTGATCCAGGGGATTGGGTAGCCTATGTAAATGCCTAGGAGCTCTGGTAGCATAGTGCCTAAGGCACTTGACTGCTAACCAGAAGGCTGACAGTTCAACCCCACCAGCCACTCCTCGGAAGGAAGGTTGAGCAATCTACTTCCGTAGAGATGCCGCCTCAGAAAGCCAAGGAAGGGTCACTATGAGTTGGGTCCGACTCGATGGAACAACAACAAACAACAACATGTCAATGCCTAGCCTGAGTCCGTTCTCTTCTTCACTTAAAGCCCTCAATGTTCGGTTCTGGACACTGGTGTACAGTAACTGTTCCATGGGTGTTTCCTGGATGAAACCTGATAAACAAGGCTTACGGTAGGCAGGGTGCCACTCTCCACACCCCTCCCATCCCACAGCAGACATCTTTACCACTTCTGTGTCCTGCCCTCAAAGCTCCAAGAGCCCCTTCTGTGCAGCTGATTGTTTCTGACACCATAGATAAGGATACCAATCTGCTTGCTGGGTCAGAGGTGACCCATATCCACAGCGTTTCCCTATACCTTATCCTTAAGTTTTATAGCTTTTCAAGTATGCAGAGGTAATGACGGTTTCCCACTGATGTATCCTTTTTTTCTTCCTTTGTCTCCATCTAGGTATATTTTCTTTGGGGACACGCCAAGGATGTTATCCAGTCTTTCAAGACACTTGAAAGGTAAAACAAGAATGAGAAATTGCCTTTGACTGTTTTGAATTTGGCATTTGCTTAGAACCAACAAAACTCATTGGTGTCATCTTGCCTTGAGTTAAACAAACTGAGATGGGCTCTGTGACCTGTCCCAGCCAGGAGAGGAGACCCTTTGTCTTTTGCTCTTCCTGGAGATAGTTGTTGAAGTAGGATGAGGTGGGTTTGAACTTTGACTCTTCTGTCTTAGACACTTCAGCTCTTTGACCTTCCGTTTCCTCATCTGTAAAGTGGTGACAGTGATACAGCCTACCTTTGAGGCTTGAATGCGGCAACAGACACAGGCAGGATGTAAGGTCTCTGCGTGGCACAGTTTGGACTTGACTGCTAAATGAAAAGTTTGGTTCAAACCCACCCAGTGGTACCTCAGGAGAAAGGCTGGGCAGCCTGCTTCTGATTACAGCCAAGAAAACCCTATGGGATGGTTCTACAGTGTAATGCGTTGGGTTGCCATGAGTTGTAGTCAGCTCAATAGCAATGGGTTTTCTTTTGTTCTGTTGTGTATCAATGGAAGCGTTGGCCCTATTATTCTCTCTGTCCACCTGTCCCTCCAGGTCATGGTGAGGATGAAAGGGGAGAGTCTATAGGATAATGAGTGCATTACATAAACACAAGCTATTGTTATCATGTCAGAAAGCTTTGTGTGCAAACATGCAGGTGGATCAAGGGACCAGTGTTTGCTTTATAAAAAGATCTTTCATCTTAGAAAATGTTGGAAAACTTTCCCAATACAATCCAAATAGACAAATGACATTTTAAACATGAATTTATGCATGCCTATTGAATAGACTTATTTCAATAGAGTATTGAAATAGAAATAAATTCCACCAGCCTTATTAGGGAAGTAAAGATCAACTGCAAGAAACATATGGGCACCTACTGAGCCCCTGCTGGGTGTGGGCTTGCTGCCAGGCTATTGGCGATTACAGTCATACTGTGTTGTTGTGTCCTAGGCTGTGAGTGGTGCCCCCTGGAATTGTGCACTGGGAACTCATGTTACTCCCTGTGCAGCCTAAAGTGGTGGCCTTGGTAGTGACCTTTAACTCCAGGCTTATCAGTGTATGAGGCCTGCTAGGGGAAGGGCAAGGAGGGAGCAGGCAGAAGCATGTGTGCTGTGCTATTCCCCTCAGGGGAATGGAATGAGAACCTGCTCAGGGAGCATTTTGGTCCAGGACCCCAGAGATCCAAAAAGGTCTCTCTTTCTGGACCTGTTTGATAACTTCCCTACAACAAGTGTTCCTACTGCATGGACCCTGAGACCAGAGCCCCACTCAAGTGGGCCCAGAAGCCCTGGGACCTTTCTTTATTATAAAAATAGAGAGAATGAGACGTTTGCCTATGTGACAGTCTTCCTGTGACATTCTAATTGAGCAGAGATCTGAATGCCATCCTAGAGCCAGGTGCTGGGTCCAAGTGTTGGGAGTGCTCATAGGTTCGATGATGCAGCTGTAGCTTGAAGCCCTCTGTAGTATCCCCCTCAGGTGCTCATCCTACTTGTGGTTGGATAACTTCAGTGATGGAGAGCTCGCCACCTTCCAAGGCAGCTAGTCCATATCCAGAGTCCTCCACTAGAAACTTTTCATTTCATACTGAGCTGAAATTTGTCCTCCTCAAACTGTCTCCTTTGTGAACCAAATATTACCCCCTGAAGACCACCCAGGACCTTCCACTCATTCATTCCTTGTTCAATCAGCATGTGTAGTGTCACCCTGGGCAAATTCTTTAGTTTCCACTGACGGTATCACACTGGGCAAATGTTCTGCAAAAGATCTCTGTGAAGTATTAAAAAGCAAAGATGTCACTTTGAGGACTAAGGTGTACCTGACCCAACCCATGGTATTTTCAACCCCCTCGTATGCATGTGAGAGCTGGACAATGAATAAGGAAGACCAAAGAAAAGCTGATGCTTTTGAGTTGCAGTGCTGGTGAAGAGTACTGAAAGTACCATGGACTGCCAGAAGAATGAAGAATAAACAAATCTGTCCTGGAAGAAGTGCAGCCAGAATGCTCCTTGGAAGAGAGAATGGCCAGACTTCATCTCACCTACTCTGGGAGATGAGAAGGACATCATGCTTGGTAAAGTGGAGGGTCAACGAAAGAGGGGAAGGCCCTCAACAAGATGGATTGACATGGTGGCTAAAACAGTGGACACAAAGAGCAATGCTTGTCTGTGAGGATAGCTCAGGACCAGGCAGTGTTTCATCCTGTTGTGTGTAGGTTGCTATGAGTCAGAACCGAGTCGATGGCATCTAGCAACAACAATGGCAGCAGTGGTGTCTATGGTAGAATTTCACCTTCAGCACAGGGACCTGTGCTTGCTTCCCGGCCAGGGGACCTCGTGGGCAGCCGCCACCTGTCTGTCAGTGGAGCCTTTTGTGCTGCTGTGATAATGAACATGTTCCAGCGCAGCCTTCAGACTTAGACAAAGGCCTGGGGACCTACTTCTGAAAATGCAGCCATGCGAACCCTGTGGATCGTGGCGGTCTGGTTGTGTTGTGCGTGGGGTCACCCTGCTTGATGGCAGCTAACAACAACGGTGCTCAGTGACTCTGGCCGTGTGTACAGCATCACTCTTGTTACGCCTGGAGCATCGTGTACGTAAGATCATTCAGTCCTCCTAGCACCTCCCACATCAGGTCTCTGCCGGCAGCCGGGGAGAGAGATGGCTGGAGGAGGGGCAGTGGGTGGAAGGACCCTTGCTCACTGGTCCATCAGATGCTTACAGGAGGCGTTGTGTGGCATCAGGCACTGTGCTAAGTGGCTTGAGTATATTACAAGATTTAATCCTCCCAGTCCTCTATGAAGTAGTTACTATTATTATCCCCATTTCCAGATGGGAAAACTGAGGGTCAGGAAGACTAAGTGACTTGCCCAAGACCATCAACAAGTAAGTATCAGAGCCTGGATTTGAAAGCAGGTGGGCTCTGACCACTAGGCAATGCTGCCTCTTCATAAATACAGAGTTCTCCCACTGGCTGGGAAGAAATGCTTTCCAGCTTAGGCAGTGAGTTACGTGGGAATTTTACTTTTATCTCAGTGAGAAGTCCCATCTGAGTTGCAGCAATAGCAGGATTTGCGCTCAGACCAGGTGGCCTGGGCTCCAATCCTGGGCACTCCTTAAAACTGCAGGGCTCCAGGTGAGCCCTCTAACCTCGGCAAGCCACACTGTTGCCAGAAGCACCAAATGACAACTGCCAAATTGAAAAAAACAAACTCATTGGGTTTTCTGGGTGAAAGTCTCTCCCTTTGCTTTAGTCACTTACTTAGTCACAGTTCAGGATATGTGGCTCCAAATGCCTCCAAGAAAGAAAGGGTCCTTGGCTTTACCTCCTAGACCTGCTCCGCCTAGTACGGCAGTCACTGCCACACACTGAGCCCTTGACTGTGGCCGGCTCGAACCATGAATATCTCATGCTGCTTTGTGTGCACTCATTATACGTTGGCATGTTAGTATACAACGTATCATTTCATATTACACATTATAACACATCACATCCAATAACATATACATATTTCATATAACACATTACATAACAACATATTATTACATATTAAATGTCATATTATAACAACATATTATTAAAATTATTTTCACTATCCTTTCTTAATGTGGCTACTTGTTAAGTGCTATTGATTTGGTGCTGGCTCATAGTGACCCTGTCTACAAGAGAACAAAACACTAGACAGAAAATAATAAATGCTGGCGAGGTTGTGGAGAGATTGGGTCTCTCATACACTGCTGGTGGGACTGTAAAATGGTAAAACCATTGTTGAAAGCTGTATGGCTTCCTTCAAAAGTTGGAATTAGAAATTCCATTTGACCCAGCCATTCCATTACTAGGTATATA